GCATAATGTCCGTTCTTTGTTCTTAATGTCTGTTATTCTATTTAATAATGTACTTTATTTTTACATCAATCCAAGCTCCTTCCAAGGCTGCAGATCAAACCCTCCTGAATCTGTGGAAGTTTCTATCTTTCTATTACCCACGGTTGTGCAGTGCTGGAATTCCAGGCTCCTGCACAGTCCATGTGGAAAACCTTCCTCGGGGGCACTGCCCTCCTAACACTCATCCTGTGTCTCCAGGGAACCAACTCCCAGTGATGATGATGAGGATGGAAGCTTCTCTTGGCTTGAGGAGATGGGAGTTCAAGACAAGGTGAAGAAACCAGATACTATTTCTATCCAAATGTATCCTTCCTTTGATCTTCCAGATGTGTGACACCAGAAAACCCTGCAGCTGTTACAGTGCTGTTTTCCAAATATGAATCCTCACATTCCTGCACGTTATGAGAGATTGCATTTTCTTTTTATTTACTTTGCCAATATTTCTAGGATTTGGAGCCAGGATTAAGATGCTGCTTAACAGCTGAAGAGCATATCTGGATGGGTGCAAAGCTGGGTGGGGTTTGGTGCTGGGGATTTTGGTCAGGTGGGGTGTGGGGGGGCTCCTTGGTCCAGCTTTTTGGCACAGGGATGCTTCCCTCTGCGCCGTGGCTTTCCCTTGACTGGCTCCCCAGGCGCAAGGAGAAGCACGAGGTGCAGGTGGATCACAGACCCGAGTCGCTGGTGCTGGTGAGAGGCAGCAACACCTTCACGCTGCTGAACTTCCTGATCAGCTGCCGCAGCCTGGTGGCGGCGGCGGGGCCGCAGGCGGGGCTGCCCCCGACGCTGCTGTCCCCGGTGGCGTTCCGGGGCGGGACCATGCAGACGCTCAAGGTGAGGCACAGGCTGGCTCCGGGGAGGGCGAGGAAGCAGTTTCCTTACCAGGGATCAGACCCTGACTTGGTGAACTTCCCTCAGGCAGCACAGCGGGATTTTTGTGGCTAAAGCCTGAGTCAGCATTTTGTCTGCAGGCACAGCCCGTTCCTAAATCCCTACAACACATCCCTGCGCTGAACTGGAATCCCAGCCTTCCCTTTCCTCACCTCCCGAGAGACAAGAGGCTGTGCAGAGCTGCCCAGAGGGAAAACGGTTGTTAAGATTCTCCCCAGATCTTACAGGGTCTCAGACTATCCCAGCCCCTTGCTCGAGGAGCCCCTGAGCCGCAGCTCACCTTCTGTTCCTGCAAGGGATGGTTTGGATTGGGAGGGACCTTCAGGATCATCCCAGTGCCAACCCCTGCCATGGCCAGGGACACCTTCCACCATCCCAGGTTGTTCCAAGGTTCCAGGCTGTTCCAAGGCTGACCTTGGACACTTCCAGGGATCCAGGGGCAGCCACAGCTGTGCCAGGGCTTCCTCACCCTACAGCCGAGAATTCTTTCCCTATATCTAACCCAAATTTCTTCCCAGTAAGAGCAGGATGAGCTACTTGTTCCACCAGAGAAGTTCATCCTGTTCTTGTGCACTTCCCAATCCCTACAGCATCCCTGCAGTCCAGGGGATACATTTTAGGAGTTGTTGCAGGCACAGTAAAACCTCGTGCACTGCACGGTAGTGGGCAATATTGCCAAGTGTTTGCATTTTCAGCAAAATTCAGCACGGTGGTGCCAGGGCTGTGACAGCTCAGCCCAAATCACTCCAGTCAGTATGAAATTCACCTGGCATGGCATGGTGGTGCTTAAAGCCATCAATGACTGAATGTGTAGCATGTTCCTCTTCAGATGCAGCAAGGGTGAATGTGGTGTCTTGTTTCTCACCCAGCCATGGCCAGATGCAGACCTCCAACTTGCTCTGCTAATACCACAGGATCCATGGCTTTCCTGGGGAAAATTCAACAGTGATGTGCTTTCTTTCAGAAAAGGAAGTGTGGGAAAAAAGGGAATCAATCCAATTACCTGGCATTGACTTTCATTTTTTATCCTCAGCCTGCAGACAGGCTTTAATTCCCTAGTGCCAGGCACATGATTCTAAATGAGACATGACCACAAAGGTGAAATGGGGGTTTTCTGAGATGGTGGCAGAATGAGCAGGCTGAGGATTTGAGTACACAGGCACGTCCCGGCCGTGGTGCTGCGGCACTAACGGCGCCGTTCCGCCCCAGGCTCGCACCGTCAGCGGCCGCGCCCGGGCGCAGGGCGGCTTCGAGGACGTGTTCAGCCTGGAGGTGCTGGGGCCGGTCCTGCCGCACGCCCTGCACGCCCTGACAATGGTGCTGGGCCCGGCGCAGCGCGGCTCCTTCCGCGCCCTGCTCAGCCCCCACGAGCCCAGCGCCGCCTTCAACGCCCGGCCGGCCCCGGCCCAGGTGAGCAGCGCCCCCGGCACCTTCCCTTCGCACCGGGATTCCCGGGATCGCCCCTGGGGCTCCTCCTCCCTCAGCAGCGGGAAACGGGAGCGCCCCGCAGAACCCGGACTCGGTGTGTGCCCTCTGCAGGAGGATGTGCAGCAGGACCTGCCCGCCTGCGGGCTGCATCCCAAGACTTTGGATCAGCTGCAGCAGTGTCCGACTCTGGGGAAATCCTCCATCCGCTTGCTGGAGATGAAGGATTACACCTACACCTGGAAGGCCTAGGGATGCTGCCGGTCCATGGAGCAGGACACGCCTCCCAGGGCTGCAGGTGCTGAGCTCGGGGCAGGGCAGGAGGGACACCCCACACAGCCGCTGCACTGCAACACTTCCAAGGGCTTGGAAGGAAAGGAGGGGAAAGGCCTTGGACATATTTTTTAATGTAGAAAGGGTTTTTTTAATAAAACGTGTTTTTATTGGTCTGGTTTGCCCCTGGCAGGTTGCTCTTCCCCACGCACACAAACCTTCTGTTCCAAGTAAGGAATTTCTGCTCCTGCTTGGGGCAGGAACTCATAACCAGGCTGGAACTAGAACCCCGCCAGGGCAGGGAATAAGAACCAGATGAGTTTTTAAGGTCCCTTCCAGCCCAACCCTTCTGGGATCCTATGGATGGGTGGAATTCTTGGCAAAACCCCTTCTCAGACTGTTCACAGCCCCTGCCACCCTCAGTAGCTGCACGTGGGTGTGTGGCACCTCTTGGGTTGGGGTCATCTTCAAAGTCCGCAGGGAGGAATGGAGATCAGAGGGGCCCAGAGCTGCTCAGAGCTCCCACACCCACCCCAGGCTTACAAAACCCGGCCTGGAGGGGAACAAGGGGAGGAATTGAATTGGCTGCAGCCCCTGAGCAGAAGGGAAGGGTGGCCTGGAGTGCCCATCCCTGCAGGTGTCCCCTGGAGGTGGCACTGAGTGCTCTGGGCTGGGGACAAGGTGGGCATGGGCACAGCTGGGACTCCCTGGGCTGGGAGGGCTTTGCCAGCCCCGGGGATTCCATGGATCATACACAGAGGAGTAGGGTCTGAGCAGGGGCTCTGCGTGTTTCCCTGCAGGTAGAGGGGTCCCAGGCCTTTTGGGGAATTTGTCGCTTTTCCACAGCACTTGGTTGAGCACATTCCTGCAGCAGGGAATGCCAAAGCTGAGTGGGAAGTAGAACCAACTCGTGTTTGTGCTCTCCAGCCATATTTCTATAATCTGCAGTTTCTTACTGAAGACCTTGCCCAACAGTTATTTTTCAAATGGAGTCTTTAGTGGGACTGCATCTCTCTGCTGCTAGGAGAGAACCCACATCTTTACCTTATGCATGGGTAACGGGGATTACAGAAAAAAGAACAAAACAAGTAGAGGGGCTTGTACATCCCAAATTTGATCGTGTCCAGCTGTGAATTCTGAGCTGCCATGGAGAGAATCCTCAGAGCTGCCAGGTTTGAGCTGCTCCCAGCCCCGGGGTGGAGCCTGACACCCCCCAGGGCAGCTCCTCCCAGAGCTCCCGGGGTTTTCACACCTCCCAGGCACTTCGCAGGACAAGCTCCACACATTTAGTCACAGACCAAAGGCGAGATGCCAAAGGGAAAAAAGTTTAATTCAAGACAACAACGTCCATGAAATGAAGATCAACTGAAGCATTTCCAGAGCGCTTGGACAGACTCAGAGGGGCTTTTCTGTCTCCAAACCAACCCCAATTCCCTGCTGCACGGGAAACACCAACCCTTGTCCCTGCAGAGCAAGGAGACTCCATGTTCTGTGCCACTGACGGGATCCACACGGCTCCGGGTACCAGGAATTCCTCAGCTCCACGGGCCCATGGCCAAAGGGTCCCTCAGGTGAGGCCCGAGCAGCCTGGCTGGGTTTGTTCTGTCCCCAAACCCAGCTCAGGTTCACACCTCACAGAGACTTGGCTGGGACAAGCCCCTGAGCAACCCCAGTGCTCCTGACTCAGATCCCTCAGGGAGGGTGCACTGCCCCTTCCCATCCCACGTGCACACAGATCAGAGATAAATGCATCTTAAATAAAAAATTAACTAAAAAGCAGGAAAAGCTTTCTACATCCTCTCCCACTGTTCAACTGCCCAAACTCTGGATCAGGCCCCCTGAGAGCAGAGGATCCTTATGGAAACATTTCATCCCAAGGAGTTATTTAATAAAGTTCAAAGCAAACGAAAACAACCAGACCTGCTCCTGCCACCCCAATGGCTGTTGAGAATCCTCACAAAGCCACTTCTGTATCATAACGTGTTTCTTGCAGAAGGCATTCTGGGGTATTTAAATTCCTGTTTCCTGGCTTGGCATCCATTGGAATTACTGTTTACTGACCAGGGGTGAAGATTATGAACTTGTGCTGCTTTATTGACCAAGTTGGGTACAACAATTGAAGCGTCATTCTACCCCCTCCCTCCCCCCAAATCCAGTTGTAGATCTGTTAAGAGTTTAAAATTCACATGAACCACAAATCCGTACAATCGGCATCAGGCAGTGGATTCACTGGTTGGGAAGAGCGGCCCCAGGTCCCCCTCCCGGGGCCACCAGGAGGCTGGGCCGGGTCGTGTCCGAAATCTCCGCATCCCTCCGGCAGCGCCCGCGGCTCCGGCGGTCCCGGGGCACGGGTGGCACCGAGGGGCAGCGCCCGGGCACGGCCCCCGGGTGTCCCCAGCACCCCCCGAGCCCAGGGAACTCTGCAGCCACTACAAAACTCTATCAAAGGGCCAACCTTCTGAACCGCAGGAGCTTCAGCCAAGGGTCTGGATTTCTGATGCCTCCAGAGTCTGTCGTCTGATTTAGTCGTTTAAGAAATAATTACATCACTAATGTAAACAATATAAACATACCAAAAACTAAGTATGATTTAAATACATTTGGATGGTACAAAAGAAAAACCTGTGGGTGTCTGTACAGTTTTTACAAGGTGGGAATCGCCGATGTATTTACAACATGAGAGGGGCAAATACCATTTCTTGTGCCGAGTACAATGCTCAGAACCAGTGTCCCAGTAAAGCCAAGCTTAGCGGTGTGAGGCACTCCTGAACATGGTGGTATTGACCATGCTTTCCTTTGGTACGAGTCCCATGGCCTGCAGCGCCGCCGTGGCCGCCGTGGCTTTCGCGTGCTTCTTGTTAAGGCTGGCAAAGGTGGGCCTGTACTCGTTGCCATTGACTCTCACCTGGCACGGGGGAACCAGGGGTTAGCGAGGGGGCCGTGGCTGCCCCAGGCACAGTCTGGGCAGTTCTTTAGGGACACACGGAACCCCTGGCTGCCTCTCAGCACGGATGTTTTGTGGCATCCCACCGTGCTTCGGGTTGGGAGGGACCTTAAATCTCATCCCACTCCACCCCGGCCACGGGCAGGGACATCTTCCACTGCCCCAGGCTGCTCCAAGCCCCATTGTCCAGCCTGGCCTCGGGCACTGCCAGGGACCCAGGGGCAGCCCCAGCTGCTGTGGGTACCTTGTGCCAGGGCCTGCCAATCCTGCCAGGGAACAATTCCTAATTCCCAGGATCCCAGCCAGCCCTGCCCTCTGGCAGTGGGAAGCCACTCCTGGTGTTTTGCCCCTCCATGTCTTGTCCCCAATCCCTCTGCAGCTCTCCTGGAGCCCCTTTAGGCCCAGCAAGGAGCTCTGAGGTCTCCCTGGAGCCTTCTGTCCTCCAGGTGAGCACCCCCAGCTCTCCGAGCCTGGCTCCAGAGGGGCTCCAGCCCTGGGATCCCAGAATAAAGTGCTCCAGGGACTCGGTTTGGCCTTTCCAGGAACAGGACTTGCACATTCCAGCACCGAGACGGCTCCACCATCCTCAGCCAGCCCCGTGAGGTGTTTCTATCAAACAGAAACATGGATTTCACCCCTGGCAGAGGGAAAGCAGCACAGGGGCAGGCAGCCCAGACCCACCTTGAAGATGAAATGTTTGCGGTGATCAGGCCCACTGTCGTCCACCAGCACGAACTCGGGGGGCGTCCACCTCCTCTTGTTGCAGATCTCCATCAGCGCAGACACCGGGTGCTTCCCTGGCACACAGACATTCCAGGGTCAGGGCCCACCCAGCTCTGGGAACTGCGTTATTCCAGACAAGAATCTCACCTGAAAGATCCTTCATCACCACGTAATGGCCGGACCTCTTCTGGGCCTTCTCTCCCACAGCAACGAGCCCTGCAAGCAACACAGGCACGCTGACATTCCCCATTCCCACTGCCTCCTGACTCATCAACCAGGGGCCACAGGGAACCCCCAGCTCCCAACCCTCCACCTCCTTCTGTCCATTCCACTCAGCACATTCTCCCCAAAGGCTCCAGGAACATCCTGAAGCAGCCAGAAGGAGAAAACTCTGAGTAGTCTTAAGCCAGGCAACACCTGGTTTTCCATGGAAACCTGGTTTTCCACACCCTCTTTGGAGAAACAACCAACAAGGGAGACACTGAAGAACATTCTCCTGCTGTTTTGTGCAGCCCAGAGTCACTCCCTGCCTTCAGTCTGCCCAGACACAGGAGCACAGGATGTCTGTGTCCCCTCCTGCAGGAATGACACCCGGATCCCGTGTGCTCTCTGCCTTTGCCAGTGCTCCAGCAGCCCGAGCTGAGAGCTCCATCCCACCTGAGAACAAAGCAGCAGAGCGTGCAACAGCCCCAAAGGGATGCAGGGAGCACAGGCAAACACCAAAGCTCAGCACTGCTCTTCTGAAAACCTTACAAGACCAAGAAATAAAGTGAAGAATTGCCAGAAGTGTCTGAAATTCCAGTGACAATCCATCAGAGAAACTCAGGCTTTGCCCCCTGGAGTTTGCCGCTCTCAGATTTCAACCTTTCAATATTCCCTTGCTTCTTACCTCAAGTTTTCCTGCTGTGGCTTTGGTGAATAAAGACAGGGAGATACTGCAATTGCTTCCAGTGTCTTCCTGTTCCTTCAGCTTTTTTGGGTGTATTTGGGTTTCTTTTGCTTTACAGGAAAATCCTTCCCTCCTTACCAGATGTTCATCCCACTGTTCCTGCTACCACTAAGCAGGGCCTTTCCAGGGGCCATGAAGCCACCAGAGACAATCCCTGACAGAAAGGATGAGGATTTCTCCCTTTACAGAATTTTAAACCCAAACCTAACAAGGGATTCTCATCCTCCTCGTTAAACTCTCCCCCTGTTGCTGAGTCACTGACACTCCACTCCAGCTCCAGACTCTGGGACCTCACCTGGGAATTTCAAACAAGCTGCAGCCTCCCGAGTCACTTCCTGTGACCAGGAACTGTATTTTATTGGGGGCTGGTTTATATTTATAAACATAAGCATATGTTTATTAAAGTAGATATTTTAATAATTATTAAAATATAAATTTTAATATTTAGAAAATAAAATATTGTTTTATATGTTGAAAAATGTTTAATAAATTCCTTACAAAACAAACCAGGGAGGTGCATTAATAACAGCCTTCCTGCAAACAGTGTGGATTTTAAAAC